AAAAAAAGTGGTTTTTGTGTTCAACAAACCATTCATACACAACACTAGATGTTTGCTAACAATCTATATTTAAAACTTTTCAATAAATACTATTTTCTTATAGTCTCAAGTGTTTTATCTTTTGACACGACTAATGATTTTTAGTGATAAGCAAATAAACATTAGTTCATCGAAATTGTGTTGAATAAGATGTTTTGATTTTACAATATTCTCTTCCATAATCTATACCACCTATACTCCCAGTGCTCCGCTCAACCAGTTTATAGCATTTTTAGGGAAACTAAATAGAAATAAAACGTGAAATGATTGCCAATAGTTATTAAAATTTTTCTTTAAAAATAGTATTTTTATTCAATTCTTTCGTTTTTTCCTTACTTTGAATACAAAGTCCTTACATTGAAATAAATATATTTTTTTAATGCAATATTTCCTTTAATTTTATATTATTTCTTATTATTATTGAAATGTTTTTATATAATTATGCTTTTTGAATGAAATTACAGTTCAGCTAATGAAACTCAATAGGATAATAACTATAAATACATTTAGATTACTATTGCAGTATAATAGTCTCCAGTCTATACATTAATTGTTAATTAATTGTTAAAATAACTTATTTTCCCAATTATATCGCAAACAATCCACTTGTAATTAATTGTGAATCACAATAGTATTTTATCTGAAAACTATTCATTATATAACAACTCGTGAGAAATATAACATCAATAACATGACATCTCATCAAAGATTTCACTTTCAAATTATTTAACCATTGGAAACAAAAACATTAATTAAAAAGATGATGTCATGACTGAAATGATACATCACTTGAGATGACATTTATGACACATTTTTATATAATACTAATTTTAAATAAATTAACAAAAAGTAAAAACTGAAAACTATAATTAATTACTTGTTAACTAAATTTTATAAATTAAATTCAAACTTTACATACAATTTAGTATTGGACTCATCGGCAAAACTGGTATTCAATGGTTTAACTGATGGCACGTTCACTGATTTGGGAAATTATGATCAATGTATCCGCGACTTCATCCCCAGCACTGAGGATGAGAAGCAACTTAATGGCAAATACTGTTTGCTTCAGATTAAGCCTCCTTTGCCGCAAAGGCGACCCCACCTGAAACACTCGGATAGGATTTTTAATTTTACTGACACCAGCCTTCAAAATCCGGTAATTATTACCCAGACATACGCTATTTAATATGAATTTTTTTATTGAAATTCAAAACATTTTCACTCAAAGAATGCCGAGTATTATGGATCCCTTGCGCACAGTTTGTATTCAAATCCATTTTATTTGGGAATTTGTATTCCTTCTGAATGTGAGGCCATTGATATTACTACCATGTTAAATCATTGTAAGTATTAAATACTATGTTAAAAATATATAATTAATGTTAAAAATGAATATATTTAATTGACAGCAATGAGTAAATTTCAATTCGAGCCTCACATCGGAAGTGACTGTTATGTGGAAGACGTCCAGAAATATAATATTAAAAAACTTGTGCAAAAACTCGACTTTTACTCAATTATGTCAATGTTTGTATTTATCATAATGGCAATTAAAATTAGATTAAATTTTTTATGTATCCCTGTTTAGCTCAATAATCAGTGGCATGTGTGCACTCATAGGTTTGGCCACAATCTGTGAGTTTGTGTACAATCTATTCCACGACAAAGTTGCCGACAACGAGAGACCACTTATTATGAGTTTCTCTCTCATATCTAATGTTAAGAAATTATATTCATTGAAATGTCCACCAAATGAGGAGCATTTGCAATCAATAAATGGCATTAAAATCATTGCAATCATTTGGATAGTCGTCGGAAACGTGTATTTAGTTGGATATCAGCCACAACTCCGATCTTTTATTAGTACAGTATTCATAGTATAAAGAAAAATAAGAAAATGAAAAATATAAGTGAAAAATAAGTTATATTTAAAAATATGTGTTTTCAGAGAGCGTTCAGATAGAGCTGAGCCGAAGAGGTGGATGTCTTCCGTATCAGCTAATACTCAACAGTTGGGACTCATCACACATTTTCTTTCTAATTGGGTATAC